TTATCTCTTTTAGACACTACTTTGAGGGTCTTATACCCCTCACAGGCTTATTTTTATTCCTGCAGATTTTAGCTTGCTCGCTGAAGCGAGCAGTTCAGTGAGCTCTTCGTGTTTGTTCGCTGACAAGCTCGTTCAAGCGAGCATGTCAGCGAGCTATTTAATTCCCCAGGCAGTAGCTGCTACCCAGGTCCCCTACCTCTTGCTCCCTAGCTCGCTCAAGCAAGCCCAAGAGCGAGCAATGCTTTGTTTTATCTCAACTACTCGTTAGCCAGCTCGCTAAAGCGAGCACGCCAGCGAGGGTTTCCCTGCTTTAAACTTGGCTATTGCCAAGCCTTTAATTGGCTCACTAGACCTCTCGCTCAATAGAGGTCTCCAGCGAGCAACCCAAAGATTTGTCAGGGTCTGTTTATTTCTTGGACAAACCTTGGAAACACTCTAACACTCTTCTGTACCTAAACGAAGCATGGAATGGCAACCCATAGCCCAACAAACTAGGGTGCTCTTACATCCGAACTCATATCATATAATTGTGCTTCTTTCTTTAGACACAAGTTAACTATCAATTGATTACTTCTCACTCAAGTTACCAACCTTTAACTTTAGCATTTTAGGACCTAGGCTCTTCATGCATAAAACCAAATATACAACTAGTCCAATTATGCTTCTTAACTATTCCATAACTCTTACAACATTCAAATAGGCACCACGTCCCTTCCATCACATATATACCAATGAAATTACATTATAATGCCATCCACAGGATACTCAAATATAAAATAGTCCTACTGGCTAGGGAATATACTAAGTATGCATTATGCATCGTCATGCAACATACAAACATAGGAAAACATCATCTTATGCCACAACTAGTGCATACATATACATATATCAATGCATTAAACTACTATATTGCAATTACATACACCAACAATAACCACTACCCCATCAGGGCTTAGTGGAACAATAAAGGGATAAATCCCAAGGTTCGAAGGCTTATCTCATTAGCTTCTAATCAACCTTTGTCTTACCACCAAGAATGCAAACAATCAAACTTTATGTCAACCACAACTCACAAAATAAACACCTACACAAATGTGCAAAACAGTCAATCACATGCATCAGTGAATATCTCTATATTCATCAAATACATAAGCAATTCAAGGCAACCACCTTGTATGAACTCACAAATACTTGAATAAGTCAAGTATCCAAGCTTAGATCCATTGGTTCATCTAATGCTTGATCCCTCAATGAAGGTCCACCATTCTCAATCCTAGATTCAAGTGAATACATTAATTTCAATATCAAACATACCAACCAATAACATTACCTGGAATGCAAGAAATCACACAACATAGGCATGCATTTTTCATAAATGACATTGTGTGCCAAAATGGTGATCCAAATACATTTCTACAGTTCAAACCACTTCCTAAGCATTTTGTCCAACTACAACCAAGCTCAATTCATCCTCTAACATAGCTATCCTAATTACATTTCAATGATAGAACCCTAAATATACCCATTATCATAGAACTCATTAACATGCTTGTAACTTAACATGAACTCACCTAGAATCATGCAAGGAATGTTCTCTAACCCTTACTTCAAGTAATGAGTCGCCCCAAGCTCCTCAAACCACCAATGGACACCACTTTCTCAAGGATTTTTCTCTCCACTCTCAAGCTTTTGTCCAATTGTGGGTTATAGGTTTTACTCACCAAGTGTTTCTAAGCATTTTAGTTTTCAATCATTTGTGATTTCATTGAGTAAGAAATAAGATGTGTTTTAAGGGCTCTTCAGTTGGTGATGGAAGAAATGAATTTAGTTGGATGAAATTAAGTCACGTAAGTTCTGCTCAAATTTTTGTGTTGCTCATTGAGCTCATCGCTCAAGCAAGCAACCCTCAGCAAGCAATTTCCACGCTCGCTAGAGGAGTGGCTGACATGGCCTTTTAGCCCAAAGGCCCAATTTCCTCACTTAAGCCCACTAACTCACTTAAATGGTGTCTTTCTACATAAACACACTCCACATTGATTGAACTAAGTTTTCCACTTATTTTATCTACAATGTGATTAGGTAACATTTAATTTAATTTAAGTAAGCCTTTCACTTAATTACTTAACATTATGCATGATTAAATAATTAATCCAATGCATTAGACATTTACAAATTAAGGTTATTATAAGTACATAGTTATAATATTAAAAAAAAATTTATACACCTTATAATTATATATTTCAGAAAATACATAATTATAATATTAAAAATTATTTTTTTCTTATATTATAACTATATACTACACGGAGTATATAGTTTGCTGGAGAATTCCAAATTCATGTAACATGAGAAAAAGGGACCCATTTATAAATTACATTTCATCATTTTATTTTATTAGTTGTTGATCAATTTAACATAGTTAGGTACCTAAAAAACTCATTTATTATTAATCATTAGTGAACTCAATATTAAAATAAAGTTTTTAAAGCTTAATCTTCTTTACAAAATCAATATTACTCAATCTTATTTGTAACTAATGATTCTAATTTTACCTAACTCCATTTCCATCTTCCACGATTTCACTTACTTCTCCTCCAACGCACTCTCTTTTTCCTTGCGTTACACTGCCGAATTAACCACAATTTTCCTTCATTTATGAGGGTAAAGTTTTCAAGCATCGTTAATAACATTGAACATGTCCACTTTTTTTCTAGCAGAAGTATGCAGTTGCCTAGTCTTTACTAATAATAATCTAATATCCTAGGCTAAATGGCTAATGCAACTTCAAACCACTAGGTGGAACTGATACATTGGCTGGGCAATTACATAGGTTAAAAATATCAACAAGTAATAACTAGTGCAGGACACTGACCTATTATAACTGGGCAGTTTGATAATGCACCCACCTCTCTAACTCATATTATAGGTAATGGGGTAGTTGAGATAGATATCTTTTCTTGATAAAATTTGCTCATAATAATGGTTAACAAACAAGTATTCATATGGCACATGTCGAAACGCTTTATGAAAGGCTATGTATATAACTCGTAGGTTAGTTCGAGATGGGAAAAGTTAAGCTTGTTGGGCTAGATTTGGTACAAAAACCCTTGGAGAAAGTGAAGGTGATACAAGAAAGATTGTTGGAGACTGAATATTTTTGTTAATTTCTATTATGAAAGGAGTGATAAAGTTTAGTTAAAAAATAAAAACCTAGTTCACGATCTGAGGGTATATTCGAGATCATGGAATAGTATTGTTGCTCATTACTTTGCTTTTTCACCTAGATTTGAAGGTATCAATCGAGTTTTTCATATATTAATAGGGTTCGTTTTTTTTGCAATATCTGCAGTAAATCCAATACGACGTCATTTTGGGGTAGAAATCATGATATTTTTGTGATTTTAATTTATTTCAGGGTTAAAATAGTCTTTATATTTATAATTTTTTAAGATTTAATACCAAAACGACATCATTTTAAAAATAAATACAGATAACTTATCTGCATTAACTGTAGAAATATTTTTTCCATATTTATATTAAGTTCGTATTTTTCATATTCATTTCATATGCTTCAACCCCAGTCAGTTCAAATACACAAAAAATTGTTGAATAAAAAATAAGCCCAAAGCCATCATGGCAAGAAATTTGATAAAATCATCAGAAAGCCACATAGAAATTTGAAAAATCAATCCATAATATATATATATTACATTTCTGCGGCTGCTGTACGTTCAACAATCAAATATTTGTCATATATATGCTTGAAAACCTTAAATACAGGGAATCATAACCATACAAATGATGAAAATATTGAATATAGAAAATCATAACCATACACTTGTCGTTGCTATACGTAAAGCGGCTGCAAAAAATAAATAATAACAGTTAGATGGACGGAAATCAACGGTTGAGATGAAAAGTAAGAGTTGTAAGTCTTACTCTAAAGTCAAAATATCTCTCCCCATATATATATATATATATATATATAGGGATAGGATCAACTTACACCGGTGTAAGAATAATAAATTTTACACCAAATCTTAACCGTTGATTTCCGTGCATCTAATGGTTGAGATTTATTGGGAATTAAAAATTAATTAATGAGTGGAATCTAATAAATTTTAACCGTTAGATGCACAAAATCAATGGTTAAGATTTGGTGTAAGACTTTTTATTCTTACACCGGTGTAAGATGATCCTGCCCCATATATATATATATATATATATATATATATATATATATATATATATATATATATATATATATATATATATATATTCTTACACCGGTGTAAGAGTTAGAAGTCTTACACTCTATCTTGACCATTGATCCACTTGTATCCAATGACTCATATTATTAAAAAATTTGAACCCTTAGATATAAGTGAGATTAACGGACAAAATTAAGAGTGTAACTTACATTGGTATAAAATGATCCTGACCCATATATATATATATATATATATATATATATATATATATATATATATATATATATATATATATATATATATATATATATATATTTTAAATTCAAGGACCAAATTTCGTAAGCAACGGACAAATGTAACACCAATTGCAAAACGTTAGGGGAAATATTTTGATATTAAAAATTAAAAGAAGGGGAAATATTTTAATTAAAAGAAATAAAACATAGAGAAAATCTCCTTTAAATAAGACATCGACACAAGTGGAATGAAAAAAATTGAAAACAAAGCCAGAAAGAGAAGAATACAAAATGGAAGAGTGAAGGAATTGATAGACCTAATTTAAATTTATCCACTCTTCACTCTACCAATTGATAGTGACTCGTATTTTAGATAACATCTACGAATAAACAATAACGACTATAACAAGTCAAAAATATTAAAAAAAAATTATATTTATTGTTAATTAATTCTTGTCTTTCTTAAATAATTATGCAATATAAAATTTTTTAATGGTATTTGTTTAAATTGTTCTGTTTAAATAAAGTATGTTTAAATAAAGTACGTTGAATAAACTACTAACAAATTCTGAAATGCAATACAATAATGGCTTAGAGACTGTATCATCAGTAAAATCAATTCAAACAATAACGAAGTCACTATCATGGGAAAAAATGTTAAAATCCCTTCAGCTAAAAGGAAGTCTAGCGACTTTTAGTTGGTGACTCAATCGCATGTAAATAATAAGTATAGCAAAATTTATAAGATACACCAGTTATTTGAAACGGATTAAGAATATGTCAGAAAATATAACTACTTAAAAAGTTTCACTTGAAATAATTGGTCGGCACAAAATGCTACAATAATGGGACCAGCCAAATCACCAGCAGCACATCCTGAAGAACAACACAAGATTTAAACTTAGGAAGTGAAACAAACAAGAGTTAGACTTACACAATTCGATCACAAAAATTCAAGTAACAAGATATGTACACACACATAAATAAATAAAACAAGAAATAAGCAACAATATTGTAATTTTCTGCATGTGTTGTTTAAAATCTTACCAACCCACTGGCCCAACGAGGGACGAACAAGGTTTGCACCAATCCCTGCTCCTATGGAGGCAAAAATTAGAGATGAAGAACATTTAACTGTAGCAACGAAAATCCTCTGTCCCAGAAGTCCAACTTGATTGGTTTCATCAAAGTCATTATCCTCATGCTTAGCCTTGAACATTGAAGTAAAAAATCGATATAAATCAATGCCTACTTGGACAAGCCATGAGGCTGCAACTCCAAGCATATGTCCTGTACAAAACAACAAAGGGCACAAGATAGTTAAGTCAAGAGCTAAGGCAATCTCATAAAGAACAGATAATTCATGGATCACTTCAACCTCTGAAAGTTGTTCTGCTCACAGAGTAGAAATAAACTGAAGTAGGCATTTTCCTTACAGCCTTGCGAGTAGCTGATTTAGGGACATCTGTTCAAGAAATCCCAAAATATTAATCGACTTTGCTAGTAGTAAATGGAAACTGCTTTATGTAAAGCAAGGACATCTAATCACTAAAATATAGCTGAATTTGAAAACAGGTTCAAAGAACATACCTTTAAGAAGTTTCCATGCCATTCTTTGTGAAACATAATGAACAGCAATCCTTTCCAAAATCCTTCTAGTGGTCACAACGGTTGACTGTGATGGCATCCAAGACACATTTAACTTACAGATTAAGTTATAAACATTTCGAGAATATAGAGAAACACAATGAAATGTGCATAATGTTGATCCACACAGAATAGAGTAGAAGTTGAAGAGTCAGGTTAATTTACATGGTAACTTAGTAATTACCAAGTTAAAAAGAAAACTAAGAGGCATCATATTACCGATTTGATTATTACTGAATCAGCAAAAACAAAGTCCAGCAGGAATACAGAGTATCAAGGCAAAAGATTGATGTAAAGGAAGATTTCAAATATAGTCAATTCTGAAAAAGTTAACAAATTCTTAGCAGCATATACATAAGATCCGTCTTTATCAAACATTAAATCAAGGGAGAATAATTAGATTGGCAGCAAAGGCTTAGAGAAAATATGCACAATTTGGTGCAATTTCACAAATATGATACTAAATTATTTCATCTCTTTATAGAAATTGAAGTTTGTATAACTTTTGGTAAAGCCGTAAGGGTAATCATGTAAAGAGTAGATGTAGATTATTCAAAGACGTAGTAGATAAAACGTAATGGAGACAGAGGCCCTTTAAAGCTTACAACAATTTTGACCACCTTAATCGTGTAAATTTTTATTCCCGGTGATTGTTAGATGATCAGTAAATTAGATTAACTGATCAGCGGAAATTTCGAGCATAGTTTAAAAATTAGCACATATTATAGAGGTTAGCAATATAATAAACAAGACTAATAGTATTGATGGAGGCCAAGGGGAGTCTATTATATGTAAATATTGGGTTGCTTCTTTTGTTATTGTTGATGAGCACCGTTCAGCTAGTGAATGTACTATTCATGACACTTTAGTGCAGGTAATTTTATGTCTTTATGTCTTTGTTCAAGTTACTTTAGACGGATAGCATTAAATAATTGCAAGTTAGAATTGGTTTTCAATTCAAGTTTCTATATATTGTGCTAGGTCATCAATAGCGGCGATATCGTGCACTATACCCCAATATGTGCAGGTAGCGGAACCCAGCCATTACTTTTGCTCCACGACACAATGATTTGCAATATGGCCACAATAGCGGGAAGTGAATTGCGGCCGTAGTGGCACAATTGTAACTTTACGATGAAGAAAGGGCAATAATCGATTTTTAAGGGGATAAATCAACTTTTACTCTACCCCTTTTTTAAGTTGCAAACACTATCCGATATGTCCCTCTCTCTCCACTGTCCTATATCTCTCGCCCTTGCGATTCTCTCACTCTTACTCCGGCCTCTCCACTCTAGGGACTCATTTTCGGCAGTTTACTGGCAAGCCCACTCACTCCTCTCCATTGTAGTTGAAATTGAGTTTTAAAGCGTAGGATCGCATGATCCTATGATTTTTTTTGCCTCCAATCGATCCAGATTGCATTTGCGATCGTGATCGTTGCAACATTGTTGGGATCAGCATGTGAATCGTAGGATCAGGAGTTCGTGCGATCCCACTGTTTTTTTCTTTCAGACAAAAAAGCCCGAAATCCAGGACCGGTTAACTTACCCACAATCCATTTACTATACCCATGACCTGGAATTCACTAAAAACACATTCGAAAGCCCGAATCTTGCGACTTGCGATTGCTTCTCTCAGTTCTCTGCTTTGCAATTAATTCCATCTGTGATTGCTGGCTGCTGCGTCTGAGACAAGGTCTCAGTTCTCTGCTTTGGTGGTTTGCATGTGGCTGCAACCAGGAGGGCAAGAGTGGACTTCTGTGAAGGCGACCAGGTAATTGAAGCAGTCTATAAATGTTTTCCAGGAACCTTCTCTTCCATATACAGTTTATATAAGCACATTCATGGTTTCCAATTAACAGGAAAATTTCTCCGGATATTTTATTTTATGAGCAAGAGAAGGCAAATTGTTTCTAAACTCTTCTTCCCTTGATCCATATAATTCCCCAAAAACAAGTAGTTGGCCTCGGGAGGTAATCCACCACACTCAAAAGCCAACAATTATAGCATGGCTGTTTGTCTTATGAATTTCGTCAATCAACAATTTCTAAAGTCTGCTCTTACTTTTTTTTTTGCTCGTTGTTTGTCTCCATAAGGAAGCATATCAATTCGTTTAACATATGATATAGTCAGGAACATGGTTCTGCAAATTATAGCATGGCTATTCTGATGCTTTTATTTTTCCCTAACCAAGTAGTTGGTTAAATTAATTTTCTTTATGTTTCATTGACATGTTATATCCCTTATGGTTTTGAACCTTAAATTTTCCCCTAGCCTGTTATTAAATTAAAATTATTTATGGTTAAACACAATAAGATTCATTGACCTGTCATACTTAGTTCTCATGTGTGTAGATTTCGAATATAGATATTGTCATATTGTTTGACTTACATATTATCATATAGCTTCATAGTTGTGTTTTTCTCATTGCAGTTCTTAATAAATTTTGAATTGTTATTTAGTAAGTATGGCTTCAAGTGGTGCTATTGGTAGTAGCAATGTTGAAGCTCTTCCAGCCTCTAAGTTCAGGAAATTATTTGCACAAAAATGCAACTGGGAATAGATCAGATGTTGGATGGAAACATGGTTTTCCAATTGACAGAGATTTAAGAAAAGTAAAATGCAAATATTGTGAGAAGGTAGTGACCGGAGATATTTATCGACTAAAGCATCATTAGGCTGCACACAAAAAGATGTCGGAGCACGTAGAGCAGTGCCCGAAGAAGTAAAAAAAGAAATGTTGGATATTGTAGTCACATTGCAAGAAAAATTAATGAAAAAAACAAGGACTCTCACACATCTAGAAGAAAAAAAAAGGGGGGGGGGGGGGAGATGAAGGTGGTGGGTCTAATATTTTTAAGAAAAGCAAAACAACTACTCAAACAATCATCAACACTATACTTAAGAAGAATTTGAGAGAGGATGCAAGTCTTAACATATGTTCTTTTATATACAACAATGTTATTCCTTTCAATGTGTAAAACGGTGATGAATTCAAGCAGATGTGTAAATCTATTTCAAGACATGGATTGGGTTTCAAGACACAATCATATCATGAGTGTAGAGTAACATATTTGAAGCAACAATATGATATGACAATGCCAACTATTGAAGAACACAAGGCTCAATGGGAGAAAACGGGATGCGCAATAATGACTAATGGGTGGATTGATAAAAGGAGAACAATAATTAATTTTTGTGTGAATAGCTCTATAGGAACTATGTTCCTTAAGTCCATTGATGCGTCTCACATCAATAAATCAGCTGACAAATTTTTTAAGATGATTGATGTAGTGGTTGAGGAAGTTGGTGAAAAAAAAGTTGTCCAAGTCATGATTGACAGTGTTGCAAATTATAAAGCTGCTCGAGAGTTGTTGATAGAGAAAAGAAAAAGGTTGTATTGGATACCTTGTGCAGCACATTGCATTGACTGGATGGTGGAGGATTTAGAGAAGAATATACTTGCTTATCAAGAAATAATTCCTGAGGGAAAAAAATTTACAACTTATATTTATTCAAGTGCTAGAATTTTAACCGTAGGGTCCTACATCAATTTCATGACCAAAGCCTAATTCAATCCGTATCAATTATGGCAGCATGTAGTCCGAGTTCCAAGGCTGAACCAAGTCCAAGAGATAGCCAAGGTACGAAGAATGTTCATGTAAATAAGGAAATGACAGGAACTTTTTAAGTCAAGACTTTCCTTGAGAATCAAAATCAAGATGATTGCTGAATCAAGAGGAAGGAAAATCACCTAGAACAAATCTCTCTTAACTCCAGGATGTTCGAAAGCCCTCACTTCCCCTCGTAAACTCTACTAGAGAATCTTCGTACCCTCTCAATTTCCCTCCCCCTCTCTCATATCCCATTGCTTCTCTAAAAAGGTTAGGATCTCCAACTAAACTAATTGTGTTAGGGATTCCCATATATTAATCATTGTTGTTAAAATGTAGTGTTGACTCGGTAGAAACGGAAGAGTCTATGTTTCTGACACTGAAAACGTGTTGAAACTGTGGTAGAAACAGATTTTGAGTTTACTCGGTAGAAACGAATTTACCGAGTTGACTCAGTTTAAAAAAAAAAAAGGGAAAAGAAATGAAGGTTATCAGCAAACTTGCTCTCTTCTCTCTCGGCCATGGACAACCAAGGTACCAGTAAGAACAACCACAACCACAACCACAATGGCACCGTGGGTAACAACAACAACAATGGCTACATCGACACCTCCAAGGCGGAGAGAGTCGTGTGGCTGATGAAGTGCCTTCCCATCGTGTCTCGCAGCCTCCGTGCGCCACCTTTCGACCCATCGTGTCCCGTTGCCATGGTCGTCGTCTCTATCAACCCTCTCAACTCCAACAATAATGACGATTCTCCTCCCCAGGTTGTCGTTTCAACACCGCATTGTGTCGTTTCGTTAGATATTCACTCTGCTTTTCCTTTGATATCTGTTTCGCATTTCTTGGGCTTCTTGATGCCATTCTTGTGTCTTGTCTTTTTGTTTTCTTTTACTTTTTGTTTTTTTTTTTAAAATCATTTTATTTTCATTATCTGAACAAATTATTATATCTTTTCCTCTCTCTGTTCTAAATTTTCATCTTTTCTCATTGTTGTCTTTGGTGGACTTCTTTTATTCCCTTTTAAATTTTGTATATATATGCTTTTCTCATTTTCTTTTCAATAAAGAACACTCATGTTAACTGAGTTCTATAAATTTGTAGATAATTCAAAAAATAATTGAAAATTATAAATATATGCATATTATATGTTATTACCTTGGTGTTTTGATTTTAACATGTATTATGATTACTGAGTTTGAACTTAATTTTTATTTCCTTTAGTGTTTGGACTTAAATTTGTAATGACATATGTATTGGTGTGTTTTGATTTTATATATGTTGGATTTTTTTTTTTAGTACGTAGTAAACTCTTACGTTTCGCGATTTTACGTTTCTGCTCACCCCTACCATTTCTACGTAGAAACTACATTTTAACAACATTGATATTAACAATTAGTTACAAGATAGTTATG